CGAGCCAGCGGCACCTTGTTTAGGGGTTAGGGTTTAGAGGTTAGGGTTTAAGGCTTTAGGAGATAGGGGCTAGGGTTTAGGGGTTTAGGGTGGTAGGGTTAAGGAGGCTTAGGTTGCATGGGACTTCGATTGTGGGGGCTTGGGGGGCTTCTCAGATGTTGAGCTGTCATCACTTACTTGCTTTCTGAGGACCCTAAACCCTAAACTTCTGGAGTATGATGACCCAAAGCCCTACACCCTGCGGTATCACGATGATTCAAGGGTATGATGGAATCGAGGGTTCGTTCTGGGCTTACCGGGTCCGGGGAGGAGAGAAGACCTCTCCTCGCCTCACGGCGCCCTGTAGCACAGCACATCGACACACATCACCACAGCACGGTCTACTTAGAGGAGCATGGGACTAAGTAAGTAAGGTCATACGCACCTTATTAATTGGGGCTATAAGTAACTATAAGTATAGTGACGTTAATATAACCCTTGTTACTAAGCCCCATGACCCTTTAAGTAGGGTTCGGGGTTTAGGGTATAGGGCATATATAAGTTTGAGGCACCGCTACCACCAACAGCAGCAGGATCTGAAGATTCGAGATCCCACAGAAAGGTTGCAAACCTTCACGAAAATGCAAGAAATCCGCAAAACTCACGAAGGCTGTTCAGAAGCAACCCTGAAGATTAGAGCCAACACCATGGCAGGACGGCCCATAAACCCTGAACCCAAACCCTATAAACCCTATATACCCCAGCCCTAGGCTCTAGTCCTAAGGCCCAAATCCTGCACCCTAAACACCCTCAAGCACAACCTCAAACTAAAACCCGGAACGCCCTAAACCCTCAACCCTAAGCCCCCAAAACCGAAAATGATTGCGCCTTCCTTTGGGAATCCAGGAAGAGAATGGTCTCAATCTCAAGCCCCGATGCAGGGCCGCCCTCTGGCAACTCAGGGCGGATCTCCAGCTCCCAGTTGTCCATCTCCTTTTCATTCTTTTGCAGTATATCGCAGAAACATATTATGTTATGCTAATATGACATCATCTCCTTCTCAGCGACTCCGACGGCTCTTACTTAGGGAATATTCCTTAAATCATACTAGATCCTACTTTTCAGGTATATATTTCCTTAACTAAGAGATATTGGAATCTCTTGGGTTTTGCAGTATATCAGAGTAACATAATATTATGTTGTGTTCATATGGCATTAACATGTGCTGTGGTGTTCTATCCACGTATCTAATGACTTTACATAGGCTTGGGGGCTTGAGGGTTCATGAACCTCAACACCTAGAATTGGTAGCTATTCTGGATCTTGACGTAACCGAGGAGACAAGAGTAGTAGACGTAAAAACACAGTATAATGGTTCCTTTACAGACAGATAGAAAAAAACCTGTAAGTATGGGACTCCAGAACCCTTCCATGGTAATCCTGCTCGTGGCTGTTGAGGCATCTGGGGGCACAGTGCACCCGACGCAGCCGGCGCGGGGCCACCAGTTCGACCCAAACGCTCTGCCAGAGCCCAGTGACGTTGGAATACCTGGGCTCAACTGTTTGGGGGGTAGAGTTTTCAAACGCCGTGGCGAGCAATTTAGAATCCTAGAAGCTCTGTGTAAGGAATTTGGCAGTCCGAGTTTCGGACTCTCAGTTCCAGGGTTCCAGGGCTTTGAAACATCGAGTTCGATTTTTGTAGTTCTAAGGCTGAAGATCTACTGCAAATTGCTGCGAGTTGCGTTCTGCAGCCTTCACTGTAGCTTGCTTTTTGGTTGAACTATGTTAATGGCCGAACCAGGCATTACATCCTGAACTCTAAACTCCCCCAAACCTTAACCCCGAAACCCTGAAATTGAGCCCAAAGCCCGACACCCCAAACCCAAAACCCCACAACCCCATGGCCCTGAACCAAACCCTAGACATCCTCACTACGGGGAAGCTCTGCTTCACGCTGGACTTGGAGTCGTGTTTAAACGGGTTCGGGTCTAGGATTTAGAGTTTAGGAATCGTTACATTCAGCCGTAAGAAGAAACCCGTCTAGAACCTTGGAAGGAAGCCTTATAGAACCTGCAGAAACCTGAAAAGGATCCCTTATACAATTTCAGGAATCCTTGTATAGGGTTGAGGGGTTTAGGGTGTAGGGTTTAGTTAACTGTGAATGGCCTTGATCCGAAGCAAAAGGCACGTAGCCGCCCTTGACTTTCAACCCGAAGCGAACCGCCATTCTTGCTTGGAGGATCATAGGACTTAGTAAGTAAGGTTATAAGTAACTTAATTCGGGTTATAAATAAGTTAAGCAAAAGTTACCTTACAAATGACCCTACCAATATAATTGTTGTGGGGTTCCCTGTTATACTAGTACAATGGCCCATATAGTATCCTGATTGGATTTGAGAAGCTGCCATCCGAAGAATTAACTTCAGGGTTGATGGCTTTTCAGCTTATGTTGCAAGTATCAACTGCAAGCCCCTACTTAAATCTTCATAAGCCAAAAAAACGCTCAAACCCCAGGGAAACCCAATAGAGGGCATAAACCCGAAAAGCCCTGAAACACCCTCAAAACCCTCAACTTGCGGCGCAACAATTAAAGGACCTCCTGCGCTGCAAGTTTCCCCTGCACAGAGCAAACAGCCCTACTATACGGGCCTTATCAGTTAGAATGGGGCTTTGGGACCCACTATACTATAAGTATAATACGGAACCCCCAAAATAGTACCTGTAATTATTTAGGCCCCTATACGAAATCCTTCTAGGTAGCCCTTATGGACCCCTCTAAAGTAACCCTATTCTCATCATTTAGGCCCCCTTAAATTAGACAGGAAAATCCTGGGCAGCCCACAGAGTTGGCACGTGGGGACCTTTGCCTGCGTAGGCTTTCGAGACCAGCTGCTTCCCCCTGGGCTCCATGGCCCCGGAGGACATCTCCTAGGGCTTTCAGTGCCCTATAACTCTAAACCCTAAATCTTAAACCTCAATTCGGGGTTGTAAGTGTTCTTTGGCTGAGCTCCTTTTCTACAATGCTTCAGTTTAGTGTCAGGCTTTACTGTGCGGCCGTCAGGTGTCGATGCTCAGTGAGGAGTACGGGTTGATGGGTTTGTTGGCTTGCGCTTTATTTGTGCGCCGAAAATGGCTGACGGATCTTGTCAACACTCTTTTCTTTGAGATTCTCAACACAGCCATGACGGCTGAACACAGGAATGAAGGTTGTCTTTGTCACTTTCACGATACTACAATCATGATATCGTTTACAGTCGGCATGTGTATCATGTAAATCAGGTGCATTACTAGAAGTGTCGCCGTCATAGTTTGAAAAACCGTATCAGCAAAGACGTTGGTAGTACTAACAAGACAGCCGGGGGATCAGGAGCTTCAGCAAGATATTCTAACTATGTTGGCGGCGATGCTCCTGAAAGCAGCAGACGCAGTGCCTATGACTGTTGTCACTATTGTTGCGGTTGTGGTTTCAATTGGTGTTCCTCGTCGTCGTCGTCGCCGTCGTCGTCCTGGTTGCTGTTTTTTCGTTGCATGTGTAGCTCTATTGAACGAAACCATACCCAGGTCTCCTCGTGGTCGGCGCATTTGATCAGCACGGTGTCCTCCGACGTGTTTCGGAGGGCTTCGGTGATGTCGTACTCAAAGGCGGTGCTGCCGCCAACGTGTGGCTTTCCAACAGTCACTCCGTTCACAATCACCACGCCTGGGACTGCTCAGCATCATGTATGAAAGAGGTCATCTGTGCTCCTTTCGACTGGACAGGTTAGCCCTTGAAACAACCATGGAGGTCATTGAAGGTAGACCAAGATGCAGGTGTAGTCGCAGGCACCGATGTGCAGGATGACACGCTGCCTCCCGGTTCGCCAGTTGCTGGGCAGCTGCAGACACCGTCGATACCATAGCCTTGTTTCATGCTGAACAAACATTCGACCAAGCATAATCGAAGCCACCATGATGAAGACCAAATCGTATTTACGACAGACTATGAAAACCAGAAGCAACTTTCTTCCAGCGAAGCAGCTCGTACCTCTTCCCCAAGCCAGGCGCACAGGGCGGACCAGCAAGCCCCAAGAGCCTCTTCCGTTTCACCGACAACTTCCCCAAGGCCCCCGAAAGGGGCGACTGCAAGCAGAAAGGCACCAGGATCTCCCCTTCCCAGCTTTCTGGTGGATGCTTGCCATCTTTTGCTGGCCGAACGCAGAAGTCCCAGGCACCGTTCAAGCTGCGCCACTCCCGTCGCTCGAAGAGGGGGTTGGGATGCTCGGGTCTGGGACATGGCTCGGCCTCCATTCTCGGCTTTACTCCCTTGCCCAAAGGCTCCATGTACCTTTATAGTTGATACTTAAGCTTAAAGGGGCCCTCTTAGGTACTTCAAGGCCTAAGTATATACTACATGGGTACATGGAGCCTTAAGGGTGAAGCTCAAGGCTTGTGTAAGAACTTCCATCGTTGGGGTGTTGGCTTGGGGCTTGGGGCGTCGGGCTGAGCGTCTCAGATGGCTAACCTCTAAAGTCGAAGATTGCTGGAAGCTTTTGGCAACATGCAGAATTGAGGGTATCCTGGATGCGGCTCAGGTAGGGTTCAGTGGCTTCGCGGTTCAGGGTATGGGTCCTAAACCTTTAGACATTCCCCTGCTTCTTCAAACCATCTTCGGCTGCCGGAAGAGTGAAAGCACTGCATTGTTGCCCAGACCCCCGGAGGATCTAGAAAGTAGATCCCCTATTTGGGGTCCTATACTACTAAGGGTATTTTATAGGAACCCCCATTAAGTGATCGACTTTTGGGATCCTCCCGTGGGTCTGGGTGGGGCTTCGCAGTCTGCCATTCTAAAGCGGCAACTCAGAAACTTGTCTTGTAAGTCCCTGGCCCTGATTTAATGTTGTGCAGCTGAGGGCAGAAACGGCTTATTGATCAGGATCCGCCCTGAACCCAAAACCCTGCAGACATTACGGCTTTGGGTTTAGAGTGTATGGGCAGGGTTTAGGATCCTGTAGGGAAGTAACCAGCTCCACTGGGAAGCGTGCGATGTCCAAAGCCGTCCGTTTCCGCGCCTCGGTCTGCCTTGGACGGGCTTGGGTTGGGTTCAGGGTTTGGGGTTTACCTTAACCCCGAATAACCTACCTGTTTAAGGACTTATATAAAGAAATCATAATAAGGAACCCTCAACAGGTAGGTTTTCAGGGTTAAGGTGGGGTTTAGAGGAGTGGCCTCTTTATCCTCTCTTTGGGGTCGTTGCGCCACAAGATTCACTAGACGGTTTCGGGACACTCCAAGCACCCTTGGGCTTTTCCGGGGTTTAGAGCTTTGGTCTCCAGGTTTGTGTTCAGATTTAGTGTGTGGGAATTTTTTGCCTACCGGTTTAGAACTTAGCGGTTCCGGGTGGGGAATTCCTTAAAACAAGGCAGGCTCGTGCCCTCAGCCTACCGCAGGACTCTTCAACACGGCATCCTTGAACAAGGGGCGTCGCCAAGATGGAAGCTTAAGGCAGCCTAGGTGGGGCTTTAATTCCTTTTAAAAATATTAGTAAATAAGATCCTCTTAAGCCCAAGAAGGGGAAATACAAAATGTCCCAAAGCGCTACCTAGCAGCAAAGTGCCGGGTTTCATTGCGAGAGATCCACAGAGCTTCCCACGAGGCTTCATCTAAGGGTTCTGTCAAAGGCTCCTGCAAAGACTTCTCGGGAGGTTAACGGTCCAAACTCCAGTAGCTGAGGTTGCGGGAGGGCTTAGTGGTTAGGGCACGAATCTTCTTTTTTATAAGTCCTATGCAACGTGTTCGAAGCGATTACTACAAACCGCATGCATTAGCAGTCCCACTGCGGATTTCTGCAAGAAAGACAAGCCCCTAAACCTCGGTTCCGTAGCCCCGTCCCTCACCACCTCAACCCTCAAGCCCTAAAGCCCTCAAGCCTAAACCCTCAACCTAAAACCCTAAATCCGACTGACCTGAAACCCCAATCTTCTCAAATTCCTGAGCCCTAAACAGAACCTTTGTAAGGCAAGCCGACCCCAGCCGTGGCCACAGAATGCAGCCCTATAAACCTTATGCCGAAGCCCTCCCACATCCTAAAGCCTGCACCCTAAGCTTACCCTTGGATAGTAGGGAATGGAAGAATGGTAGTAATAGTAATTATATTTGTATGCCATTCCTCCATTCCCTACTAACCAAAGGTAAGTAAACTGACAGCGAGGTGCAGCCCGACGGCTCCTCCCGGAGTCACCGAGCCCAAGAGCGCTGAGACTCCGGCAAGATCAAGCTGGCTATCTGCCACTGTGCCTGGCACGCCGATGTCGCCGCCTGGCCACCGTCGAACTGCTCATTTCCGGGTTCGGATGCGATGCATCGACGGCAATAAGACGGCGGTTGTTTGTGTAACGATTAGGCTTTGAGTGCGTTCGTCCTTGCACTTGTGTATAACAGGCTCATGATATGGCTACAACACACAACCCTTAGCCTTCACTTCACTGCAGTGTTGGGACTTTTTTGCCATGCTGGCGTATTGTTCTATTCATCCTCAAGATGTCCTTGGCATCTCTCGGACTACGCCGCACCAGGGATAAGGGCCCGAATCGGTGACGGTGCGGATCGGAATGGTCCACAAAATCCACTCAAAACGGTCTGTATGGTGATGTCAATGTCAATTTGTTCTTGCAAGTTCTGTTGCGGGAATACCACACTGTAGACCTAAACACTACACCCAGAACCCCAACCCCTTAATTAACCCTGAACCCTAAACCCTCAGCCCTAAACCCTGAACCCTACACCGCCAACCCTCAACTAACGACCGCTCTTAAGAGTGATTCAGACTGCAGCTCCCGAGCCCCAGGCTCTCCACCGCATAACCCTCCCAGACAACCCCTAGGCTTCTTTTAGGGTTTCGGTTAGGGTTTAGGGTTTAAGGTTTAGGGTTTAGGGGATAGGGTTTAGGGTGTAAGGTTTAGGGTTTAGGGTTATTTCATCATAAGGGTTTGTCATGCTTTGGGGCTTTTTGTGGATCGGGCTTAAGGTTTGGGAGGGCCCAGTGCTCAGCAATCATGCCAGAGCCGCGTTCGCGCCCACCGTGCCCAGGACACCCGCGCCGATGTGGGACCACATGCTCAATGCCTGTTCCGGCGGCTAGTCACCAAGACACAGCCCGAAACCCTCTAAACTCCACACCACAACGGTCAAGACGTCTTGTTGGGATCCTATGGCTTTGAAAAAACTGTTCGGTATCTTCGGCATTTTACAATCTTTGAGATCAGAGCCTTGGCTCGAAATCTTTAACGCATGACCAGGTGGCATAATAAACATGAAGTTCTCGCCCGAGTGTAAACATGCTGGAGACAGCGAGGGCAACAAAGGGAATCATAACCTTAACAGTGTCGTGACAGCAACAAGACACCATAGCATAGCGGAGCTGTGTTGCTAAGCCTCGAAGGAAGATAAACCTTGCACCAAGCCCGCCCCTACAAAACCTCAAATCCCAATCTCTACCACTAACTGCACGAATCTTAGTACTAGACTCGTTAAAGCCATCCTGAACCCAATATCTACACCAAGTCCTAGCCTCAAAGAGCTCCCAGTCCTAAACCCACCAACCCCTTCTACTTAAAGCGTCATTGGACTTAGTAAGTAGGGTTATAATTAAGGTAGCTATACTCATAGTTACTTATAACCCCAATGAAGGTACTTATAACCTTACTAAGTCTCATGATCCCCCAAGTAGGTACACTTAAAAAATCACTGACCGTGCCCTCCAACAACCTGATGTGACCGTGACTGCGCCACGGACACCCAGGATCCAATAATCACCTCTAGAACTCTGTTCTGTTACTTCGCATCTGTGCGAGGGAGGAAGTTACGGATTGAGGTGTATATAATATCTGTGTGTTGACTTTTTGTTGTCTTAATGGGGTTTCGAACCAGGATTTCAGCATTTGGGATTCCAAGCCCTGAAGACAGAATTTAGGATTCCAAGCCCTAAAGAAGAACTCAACACCCCGACCCTTTCAAGCCCGAGGTCACCTGCATCCAGTGGTTCTCGTTGCTGAAACTGCTCATCAACGTTCCGGAGGTAACCTTCAGGCTTGTTGAGGTCCGAGAACAGGGACTTATGGGTCGGGCTTGGAGGGTCGGGGGACTTAGTAAGTAGTTATTTTGGAGACTTATAAGTACCATAACCCCTATTAGGGTCGGCACTTATAAGTCTACTTATAACCTACTTACTAAGTCCCCCGACCCTCCAAGGGGTTCTCTGCTTATCAACCCTACCAAAAACAGCAAAACAAAGGCCCAACACCTACAACAAGCCATTATTCTACATCCTTGTGGGGTCCAGGTACATCTAAGCGTAAACGCCTGACCCCATTGATGTCGTGGTCAAGATGAAACAGAGCTGAGAAATGAGGGGAATTGCACCCCGAAATCCCTGACCATGAAGCCTTTGTCCCGAGAGAAACCCGAATAACCAATTAAACTCAAAACCCGGGACCCTAAACTCAATACCCTGAACTTGAATTTACATTCAAAACTCTACAATTAAACCCCAAGTTGCCCCTTGCACCCGGCAGCCGAAACCCTGAACGCAACGCAACGCCGTCAATGCGACGACCTCAACCACTGGAAGACATCTGAATCCTGGAATCCGAAAGCCCTAAACCCTGTAAACCCTAAGCCCTGGAAAGACCAAACCCGACTCCCTAAACCCCTTGTTTGGGGGATTTGGAGGGTCTTCGCGACCAAACCCTAAACCTGCCAAGCTTTTCTACGCCCGTAAACGAAAGTCTTATGTACTCCTTTGAAGGAGCCCTGTTCCCCAAGCCGTCTCAAAGCCCGCCCGAATATAAGGGCCTTGATACTTAGAATAGGATCTTGCGGCCCATTATATTATACTTGTAAAAAAGAAACCCACAAAAAAAAAAAGGATTTGTAATTATTTAGGCGCCTAAACTAAATCCTCATAATGGCCCTTATAGACCCTTTTAAAGGGACGCTACTCTAATTTTTAAGCCCCCTATAGTACGCTACCGAGTCGGCAAGGGCACCTGATTTGGCTCCAGCGCTCGCTCCAAGGCTTCCTTCAAAGAGCACGAAATCAAGGCTTTTAAATCTGTTAATCTAGGTGCCTTAACGACCAGAATACGCGGTTTGTTAAAAAGTTCCTTTTTGAAGGGGTCTATACGGATTACGTAGGGGCCTTAGCAATTACAACAGCGTTTGGGGGTCCAGCATACTATAGTAGTAATGGTGGGTGTTTAGGCCCCTATATTAACTGCTACAAACCTTACACACACACACATATATATATATATATAGACATAGATAGATAGATAGATAGATAGGTAGAGGCGCTTTGCAATGAGGTTTGTTTAAGCACTTCATGCTTTACATCGTTGTTTGACGGGTTCAAGAGGCGCTCCCTGAGGGTTCTACATGAATAAGGGTTCCTTTAAAGGGATCTATAAGGGTTATAGAAGGGGGGTCAGGTTTACATAAAGGGTCATGGGACTTAGTAACTAGGTTTATAACTACGATAACTATACTTATATTTACTTATAGCCCCAATTCAGGTACGTATAACCGTACTGACTAAGTCCCATGATCCTCCAAGTACGGCTCAAATAGGTAGACGTGCGGAGCACTCAGGCAAAGCACTAAGCCCTCGACCCACACTGGCTTCAAGGGTCCAGTCGGATAGTAGCAAGGCAGGTCAATCAACATGTGGGGGATGATTCGATTACCAGGAAGTTGGAGCTGTTGAGCAATCCAACACAGACGGATAATTGAGCTAGGGTTTCCGGGCACTGTTGTATCATTGCGGAACACTACCGGGATAGTGTTGGGGTCCCTACCAGAGACCCCCAAGTAGCCTTTCCCTTATGGCCCTCACTAGGAGGCATCTAAACCATCACAAGGATACCCTAAACCCTGATTCCTCTAAGCGGTAGTTGGGGATGCAGCCCCGAACCAAGCTCTCCTCTATGTATGCGTTATGAGCACTTAGAGCCGTAAACCCGGAAGCCAAAACCCTAAACCGTACACCCTCACACTCTTAAGCCCTCAACCCTGGACCGTAAAGCCTGAAAATCCCAAACTCCAAACCTGGAAACAGTAAAGCCCTCAACACATCCTGGCATCCAAATAACCAAAACCCTGAGCCATAAAGCCCCTTACAACCCCAAACCCTACCTTGAGCCGGAAGAACCTGCCTTTTTAGGGTTCCTTGCTCTGATTTCCTTTATATACGTCCTTAAAAAGGTAGGTTATTCCGGCTTAAGGCAAACCCTGGACCGTCCTGCTGCAGCGCAAGAGCCGGTTGCCAGCCACGGCCCTGCGCCAAAGGTGCGCACTGCAGCTGAGGGAACGGGACTTTCTTGTGCGCTGGTAACGGTCCCTATGTTATGTTATATCCCAGAGAGTCTAAGTACTAAGTACCCAACTAGTAGGGTTTGAGGTCTACAGCTGCTGGGCTAAGATGCGCGGAGAGATCTTCAAACTCACGGTGCCTTTGACAGCAGTCTGTATCTACAAGATCCTGCTGTTTTGGGTCTGCAAACTCCCACGTTCGGCACAGGATGAAACAAGGGTAGGCTATGGGTGCATCAAGCTCAGACGGCGCTGCAAGCTCGAAGTGTGGGCTTCGGGTTGCAAGGATTTTATGGATGATGAGAGCTCGGGGCTAATAACGCTTTAGGGCTTCGGGCCCCAGGCCATAGGCCTCGGGGTTTGCGGCTTAGGGCTTAATTAGCCCTGAACCCTAAACCCTAATACAGGGGCCTTAAACAAGAATAGGGTTTTAGGGCCCATTATATTATAATTATAGTAAGGAACACACACACACACAATAGTATTGGTAGTCACTTAGGGTCGTATAGTGCATCCTGTTGAGGCTGTGGGTCTCAGGGCTTCGCGTCTTCGTCCTGACGGCCTCCTTCGCTGCCGCCATGACGAGGCCCAGGGCGATAATGTCCACCTCCGCAGGGCTTAGGGGCTCGGTTCCCAAGGATTCCCAGTAGTCGTAATTACTAAGAACAAGAACACTAAGTATAATGATAGGAAGAATAACAAGAACAATGAACAATGATAAGCCCAACAATAAAAGCAATAATAGCAATAAATATCCCTGAAAGCATCTTCGAGAGCTCGCATGCACATGACATTTCGGTTGGCTAGGATAGGATCAAGGGTTGAGACAACACGGCTTTAGGTTTGCATTGCCGGGGTATGGCGTTTCGTGGTTACGGTGTCGGAAGCTTGGAGGGTATGAACTTGTGGCAAGGGTTTAGGTTTTAAGTTTTGGGTGTATAAGTTTAGGGTTTAGGGCGGAACTCAATCGGGAAACTATGTCGGGATTACAGTCCAACAACTGCCAGGGCGCAACGCTCACGAACGCTTTGCAAGGCTCCCCACGCCCCGAACCCCACCGTCAAAACAGAACCTTCTGCCGCACGCTACGTATACGGGAAACACAACCAACCCAGAGCCTCCAAATTCCTTTAATTAGGGAATATACTTTAAATTATAATAGGACCCCTTATATGATTTAAGGTATATTCCTTAATTAAGGGGTTTTGGAGTCTCTGGGAACAAACCCTAAAGGCAAAATGCGGATCTCACCCAACACCATCATCCCGGAACCCGAAGCCCCAAACCCCGAGCCCTAAACTCTAAACCCAAAACCCCAGACCCGGAACCCTAAACTCTAAACTCCAAACCCGGAGCCCTAAACTCTAAACCCCAAACCAGGAACCCCGAAGCCCTCAACCCGGAACCCTACCCCCAAAGCCACAGAAGTATATTATACCATAATGATTAACAAGGAAACCCCGTTCTGGGGACCTAAACTCCCAAACCCTACACCTTAAACCCCTAAACCCCTAAACCCCTAAACCCCCAAACCCCTAAACCTTAAACCCCTAAACCCCTAAACCCCTAACTCCCAAACCACGGAAGCCAAGCCTGGACCCCACTCTCTGCTCCTGCGTTCCGGAAGAGCTCCTGTGCTCTCTGCCACTGCCCGGCGGCCCTGGAGCATGACTTCGGGGCGAGTACCCTGGGTGGTTAGGGCTTAGGGGTCTATAATTATACGGTTAGGGCTCATTTAAGGGATCTATCGGGGGTTTAGGGGCATGACTTTGGGGCGAGTACCCGGCAGGTTTAGGGTTTAGGGGTTTAGGGGTTCCCTTTAAGGGTTTCGGGGTTTAGGGTTTAGGGGCTTCGGGGTTTAGGGTGTATAGGGGTTTAGGGTAGAGGGGTTTTAGGGTTTAGACTTGCTTGAGGCCCAGGGGACTTAGCATGTACCTGACATTACCCAAACCTACTTTGCAGGGTCCCTATAGAATCCAAATGTAAGGTTTAGAATAAGAGCCTACACAAACTAGGGCTGGTAGGTTAAGGTAGGTTATAAGTAAGGTTAGATTCGTAGATGTTGTATGTGTGCGTGTATGCACCTATCTGTCTATGTATGCATGTATGTATGTATGTATGTATGCATGCATGTATTCGGTATGCATGTGCATATGGCGAATTCATATGCATACACATACACATGTATCACCTATACGTATACGTATATGTATACAACCACATAGATGTGTGTATATATATATACACACACACGCACATACGCATACACACACCTACACATGGACATACACATGCGCATACATAAACATTTACATACGTTGACATACACGTATACACATACGTATATGTACGCATAATCACTTAGACACCGACACACACACACATACATATCAACACACACATACATACATAGATACATACATACATACATACATACATATGTACGAGGCCACCTTGACCTGCCGGAGCAGAGTTGCTCGAAGTGTCCTCGAGTAAACCGTCATATCCAGATGTGTAAAGCTTCTCTATGGCAAGGCTCTGAAGGTTTTCGCAAGGTTTAGGAGCTGAGGGCTGTTCAATACGGTCGTGAAGGCTAGAAGTTTTAAGTTTCGACGTTTAAACTTTAAACCTTAGGCGGATCTCAAGGATCAGACAAGCATACATGCATACATATCTACGTGTAAAACACATGTCCATACACATCTACATCTACACCTACAGCTACATATGCGTAGACATATACGTAAAGACCAATACAAAAGAGCAAAGTAGGATGCATCCGCTGCAACATTCCTGGGACACCCGGCTTGCACTGCAACAGCTGCTTGGTGACCTGAAGCAATCGGAGCGCAGTTGCTGCACGCGGTTAACAGAACCTTCCCCATATGACAGAACCTTTATGCTTTTCATCGTAGAACCCTCATAGCAGCCCTTTAAAGAATCTTTTGGGGTGACAGAGGTGTGTCTGGCAATGTTGACTGCAAGGCATTCACGAGATCAATCCCGCTGTACCTTAATGACCCTAAACTATGGGAATTATGGCATATTCCTTATTATGGGTAATGCAGGATTTTTATAATCCCGCTGTACTTGCACAAGATCAGCCTGAAAGCCCAACCCTGGATCTGCAACGGGTTATCCAGCATCAACGTTGTAGGACTATAAGGGATACACCCGCGAATTGCTCAGGCCCTAATCATACTGCCGGCTTTAGGGCTAGGAGCCTCATGCAGTCGATGTCGACCAGATCTTTCCGCCTTCTTCCTGGCACCGGGATTTGGACCCAACGCTTGCTGGGCTGTTCTTAAAGGTAGGTTTCGACATTAGGAAGTTTAATAGGCTTTCAAGGAATTCTTGGGTTGTTCTTAAAGGTTTCGAGATTAGGAAGTTTAGGGCTTTCAAGGAATTCTTGGGGTTGTTCTTAAAGGTTTCGAGATTAGAAAGTTTACGGCTTTCAAGGAATTCTTGGATTTGATATGCAGAGCCCCAGCTGCTGTAGTCGGGCCACTGCTGCGTTTCGGTGGCTTGAGATCGCTTCTCAAAGGGGAAAAGGAGGGACCCTTGATGGGGGCCCCTACCCTATAATGGGCTTTGTAATGGGTATACAATAGGGTATATACCTAGGGGTCCTTGTTAAGGGTCCCTCCTCTTAGCCTTGCAGCTTAGCATTGAGGGCCTCGCCTCATCATAACCCGGGAGAAGCGGAGCTTAAACATAAAATTCCAAACCAGGGTAACCTGAACGCAAAACCCTTAGTCGCAATCCCGCATGTTCGCTCGGAGCCCCAATCTCAAACCTCTAAACCACAGAAGCTGTAATAGGCTCGGCTCCGCATTTCGAAAGCCATTTCTCAGGCCCCAAAAACACTGGATGTGGGGCTTGGAGTTTGTACCGCAAGGGCGGGGAGTTGAGGGAAATCTCTGCAGGTGCCTTCCAAACTGTGACCAGAAACCCTGCCCCCGGCACCCTAAACTCGATACTTACAAAGATCTACGATTTGTCAATTGCAGTTTCTATTAGCATCCCCAGCCTGCAAGCCCCTGAAGACCCAAACTGTCGACATAATACTATGTGTAATTAACGACCCTGGGCTTTATGTAGCTCAACAAAGATGAATAACTCAAAAGGAGAGTGCCGAAAACAGTTGAGCCTGACAGGCGGATGGGGCGCAGAAGCGCCTGCGCATGTCCGGGCCCCGGACGTGGGAGTCTAAAGCTAGCTTCAGAATCTGCGCGGTACTGGCCTGCAAGTGACAGACCATGCAGCGACGGGGAAATATGGGCCAAACACATTCCAGCATCCACACGATGTGCTGCCCTGCTGCATTGCTCAAAACCCTGCAGCCTCGAAACTGGGTTCTTGTCAAAGAAATTAAGTTAAGTTACCATAATAGGGACCTATAGTAAATGAGATGGTTTCCCTATGATGGTAATTTAAATTACATCCCTTAAAGAGCACCCAGGAAAAAGCTCTGGCTGCTTTGGGAGATCACGGAAAGAAGGATTTGTGCACCACAAGCTATGCTGGCTGTTTGACTAAACGGCTATGGGGGCCGGATTTCGGGGTTTGGGTTAGGGAGCCTTGACCACAGACTGTACCAGGCAGACGGCTTGCCCGGGCATACCCAAGGGTGGCGGGGACCTCGTGTGCCGTAACAGGTGCCAAATGGCCCCACTTCCAGTACCGTCTCACCAACCTCTAGACCAGAAACGAAGGCGCTCGAGCGCCAAAGAGGAGACTCAAACAGAATCGAATTGATCGAACATGCTGAGTAGCTAAGCTTTAACCTAATGTAGACCCATGATAAATAAACCCTCCCCAGTAGTAAGGATTATGATTACAATATGACTCCTACTTGTGGGGCCGATGAAGAAAGCCCTATCCGAGGGCTACATGGAACGACACAAGTTTCCAGACCGTTGAACCCTCGATCCTGGACCGTGAACTGAATGTCTATACAGGTTTCCACCGGACAGCGAAGCAGAAAGTCTAAGGTGTGGGACCTGGATACTTCTAAACGTTTTTTTTCTTGGGGGGGCGGGGGTATACTGTATTGTGACTTACCTGGACCCCAGGCCCTAAGAAACCGACCTTTTTAGGGATCCTTAAATATGACATCAAACGCAGGCTACAGTATTTGGGGGGCTCAGGTAGGATCTGGGATTTAGTTCTTCTAACTGAAATGTGCGAGCATCGGCTTCTGAGCCTACCCATTACAAGGAGTCGATTTCAACAGCCTTTAGGGTTTAGGGTTTAGGGGTTTAGGGTTAGTCTATGTTCAGCAATAGGGAAAATCAAAGCTTATCCCAAATAGAGACCTGGATTACTCTGAAAGGAACTTGTGCTTGCCTTCTCCTCGCCGTTGCATAGTGGCGTCAGCCTCGATTGCCGGGAGTTCCTTACAGACCCGAAATCCTAAACCCTAAATCCAAGCGATTCTCGAACTTGGCGTTGGGAACGTTAGGTTGGCTGGGAGAGGAAGGAAGAAGACCGGAAGCACAAGTACAGAGGGCGATGTGATTCGTAACTTGTATCAGTATCCTCGTATGGTGCCTTGTTTGAATATAGGTCAGTACAACCCCTCCTCTCCTACAAAGCTGTTCAAATTGTTAAGGCCCTGTATTAGATGGTCTAAGACTTCGTGGTTCAGGGTCTACATGGCTTTAGCCTTGAGGGTTCAGGGTTTGGGCTTTATGGCCCAGGGTTCAACTACGCTCTAGTCTTTGGGGTTTAAGGGCTTCTGCATGCTTTTTACTCTTCCTCTTAGGTCATTCCCTACCCTCTTAAGCTAGCCGTAAAACTAGGTACGTAGGGCATGACTCTCCAGGTAGGTAGGGTTTAGGATCTTTACAGTTTCGAGGGGTGGTCGGTTAAGGGTTTAGGGTTGAAGGCTTTTAGGGTTTCTGGTTTGGGGCACCACATAGTGCGAGCAAGAGGCATCTTCCTCTCAGTCACGCTGCAGTGACACTGCTCCAGAGTCCATATGGTCCATGGCCCTGCCAGAGAAAATCCAAAAACACGCTTCAATGTTCATGGGCTTGGCAGAGTTGTTTGGGAAGAGAACCGGGGTCCTAGGTAGTTCATGGTAGTGATTTTGGGACATCTTGGGACCACTTCACTGCTTCAATACTTGGGACTCCAGTGAAATGCGACCCTTTGTGGGCCCGACGTTCTTAGTCCAATCGCCATATGAGTATCGTTGCCAGAACCTCATGTAGGTCGGGGAAAATACAGCCTTTGCATATCATCGTGTATGCGATGCATCTTTGGATTATAGTGATGTCCACTTTTGTTGGTTGACTGAACTTAATGAAAACGCAGAACCAAACAGTAGAACTCGACAGAGATGTTGTAAACAGTCAAGACACGGTGCCATTCTCAACAGCATAAGTTCAGCTAACTTTCAATAGTAGAAACACACCCGTGCTCCTCCATTCCAGGGAATGTGTGTTGCAGCTTCTAGTCTTGTTAGAGATCCAGCCGGGGGGGGTTCTCACGAAAGCTCTGCGCAAGGCATACCGGCATAGTACGTTGCCAGGGCGATAGGCTTTTGACCTTCTTAGGGGCTGAGTACCCTAGCCCAAACAAAGGCTAAACTCTTCCATTGTGGTAGGATTATGTTATATAATCCCCTACTCAGCTATTATGCCTTTAAGAAGCAGATGCCCTTCCGCAGAAGACTCAGAACGAAACCCGAGGCTTTCGACCGCATCGTTTTGGCGCATGTCTCGTGGTGTCACAGCTCGGTACGTCTGACGCCGCAGCAGTGCTGAGAATCACAAAACATTGGGCCAGATCAGCCCTGCCTTGATGACGACAACCGAACACTTCCTAGGTCCTAGCTGCTCAATCCAGGCAGTTTCGCCCCCTTTCCACTCACCCCTCCGTGCGCCGCACCAAAGCTTGGAGCTCTAGCGCGCTGGCCCAGGGGGTCCCGGAGGACCGGGTGGTCCCGGAGGGCCGGGAGGACCAGGGGGCCCTGCAGGCCCGGGGGGTCCGCTGAAGGATGTGGTCGTGGCCACCGTGGTGGTGGTGATGGTGGTCGTCACTGTGGTTGTGGCAACCGTGGTCGTGGTCGTGACTGTGGTCGTTGTGGGGGTGGTCGTCGTGGTGGTAGTTGCCACGGTGGTTGTGGCAGTGGTGGTGGGCACGGTGGTGGTGGCCTCCGTGGTCGTTGGGGGCGCAGTGGTGGTTGGCGCGATGTGCGTGCTCAGTGCGGAGGAAGGAATCACGACCTTCGCATCGCCTGAGTCCGGTCCCTTGTACTTCACCTTACTTCTGGACACGGAAACTTTCAACGAGCGCTTTCATGCTTGCCTGTAAGAATCCAAAATAATCACAAAAGCCGGACTTCGAGACCCAAGATGAGATGCCTGCACAGACCCTTGTTGCCTATAAAAGCTTTGCGGCATCTAAGTCACGGTAAGAGATGCGCCACCGCCATTCTCGAAGAATTCAACAAGCAGTGGATGCCAGCCAGTTGCCAGTTGCTTGGACCCACTTCTCTCCTGCTTGGAGGTTCATGGGACTTAGTAAGTACAGTTATAAGTGCCTGAGTTGGGGTGATCAGTAATTAAGTATATAAAGTTACCTTGTTTGTAAATTTGTACTCCTAGTTACGAAGTCCCACGAACCTTTAAGTAGCTCCCATGGCTTCCAAGGTTTCAGGTCAGGCATGCTTCGAGTTTGGACTTTAGGGCATGGGCCTAGGGATTTGGGGTTTAGGGTTTAGGTTGTGCCCTCTTGTGGTCTCCTGAGTCCCATGCAAGCCATCGTTGTCGACCACGCGCTCCTGAGTTCGGAGGGTCACGACATACTGGGATGAGAAACGACTGCATTACCCAGAAGAAGAAAATCATCATGAGTGCCATGGTTTAGGGAACACTTTTACTAAACTTTGAACGCCAACGCCTAAACCCTAAATCCCTAGCCCTAAACCTTAAACACTAAATTGTTTCGGTTACTTAGGATTTCAGAGGCATGATGATTCCACAGACAGAACAACAACAATGCGCCTGCAAGACCCCAACAGCTTCACCTTTGCAAGACCCCAACAGCTCCATCTTCGTTTCCAACAGGCTCTATGAGCTGAGATTTTAAATTTTTATCCGGAGGGTGATGTTCAGGGCGTGCGGGTTTCGGATACGTCAAAATAAAAGGTACATCCAGTAGTCAGTACCGGACAAGACTCCCCATCCAAGTAGAGGAAGGAACCATCGTCTGAGGCGGTGTAGAGGTCGTAGGTTCCGGGAGTCTGAATCTTCAGAAACCCTGTGCACCTGACGGCGAAATGGTCGTGTTGCGCGACTTCCGGGAAGCGATCGTCACTGGTGAAGTCAATCTCAGGAGCGACGATGTGGCTGTCCGGTGTCCTTCCTGCAGATTTCACACCGGAGGGGTGGCCAGGACGTGGGCTGAGCCACAGGGTAGGTTTTAATTTTAACCCTGAACTCTACACCCGAAATGCCGAAACCCTAATGTAGGGGCCTTAATAATTGGAATATGGTTTGGGCGTATATTATTCTGTAAATAAAATAAGGAACCCCCAAAACCCTATTCTGATTATGAAGGCCCCTACGTTAGATAAGCCACCAAGCCCCGACAAGATCCAAACTGCTTCGAGACAAAGCTGCCTGCGAAGTCCGGGACGTTGGAGCCCTGCGTGAAGTAGTAGTACCTTAGCCGCCCGTAGAACCAGAATAAAAACCATATTCTTTACTTAATCCCCTTAAGGTTGATTGTAATAAAAATAGCACAATATTCTTTACTAATCCCCTTAAAGTTTATTGTAATATATGTAAATAGAACATGATTCCTAAGAGCAGTTAAGGTACTCGCAGATCATGCCCGGAGACCCGAAGTCTTCCTCGGCTGCAGGAAGCAACCGGAGCCCGAACGGCTGATGATATAAATCCTGCATTACCTTAAGGACCCTAAACTATGGGAATTATGGTATATTCCTTATTATGGGTCATGCAGGATTCATGTCATCAACCGAAGCACTGGGAACAAACGCAAGTGCTTGCGTTTCGAGGGTCTACCTGAGCCGACCTTAACCCCATAAACCCTAACCTTCCCAGGATTCCTTGTGATGATTTCCTTTTGATATGTCCTTGAAAGGTAGGCCCACGGGGGACTTCAGGTAAGATGAACCTTGAACCTCTGAGCCCCAGGCGGCCTGACTCGGACTAAAAGCCTCGCAGTCCGAAAGCTCGAAAAGAAGACTGAGACCCACAACTACACCCCGAATCCTCAAAACCCTAAACCTTATAAAGTCCTAAAAGGGGCCTCCCACAAAACCCACTATCGACCCAATGCAGCCCCTGCTGACCCCAGGGTCCAAGTACCTAATTGCCATATTACCCCCCCCGCACCCCCCTTGAAAAAAAAAACTATCCTACATGCCCACCAATCTGAACCCGAATAATACTGTTGATGATATAAATCCTGCATTACCTTAAGGACCCAAAACCATGGGAATTATGGTATATTCCTTATTATGGGTAATGCAGGATTTATATCATCAACCGTATGGGGCCTTGATAATTCGAATCTTTTGTGTGTATCATGGTATACTTATATGAAGGAACCCTACAGGGGATATAATTTGCAAACACTTCGGCTTCTGTATTGCCAGATCATAGAGTTTTGGACCCTTGGGGCCATACACTCCTGCCAACACTACCCTACATGGTTACCCTTCCGAGCAGAAACGCAGACAGATGAACTGTCAGATTGGTTGGATCATTGGGTAAACACCCTAAACCCCAAACCTGAAACTCTACTTAAAGGGTCATGGGGCTTCGCAACTGAGTTTATAGCTAACTATACTTATAATTACTTATAACCACAATTAGGGTACTTATAACCCTACTTACTAAGTCCCATGATCCTCCAAGTAGACCCTAAACCCTAAAGCCTTATAGTACCCCTATAGATCCCTTAAAGGGACCCTTAACCCCTTACTTACAAAGTCCCATGACCCTTCAAGCAGACCCTTGAGCAAGCCTCAAGAGATCCAGGCTTCGGTCTCACAGTTGAGGCCGCTGTAGCCCGGATCGCAGACGCAGGCGCAGCTGTCGAGTTGAGAACCGAACTCGTTCCTTGGTTTAAGGCTTCGGGTTCAGTGGTCCATGGAGATCTTTGTAGGATTAGGGTTTCTTTTTTGAAGTTGGACTGCACCCCTTTCCGAAGATCCCGAAGCGCGTTCCTTGGTTTAAGGCTTCGGGTTGAGGCGCCCGTGGGGATCTTAGCAGGCTTAGGGCTTGCTGTAGGCTTTAGCGGCTTATGGCTTGGCCTGGCTTTGCCTCTTAGACGGGCTAGCTTTGCTTTTAAAGCCCGGGTTGGGATTAGCGGGCTTGCGCTCAAGGTATCAGGGCTGGGCTTCCTTTACGATTTGATTTTTAATGTTTACGGTTGTAGGGCTTAGGGCTTAGGGTTGAGGGGTTCAGGGTTTTGGGGCCCTTTCAGCAGGGTTTAGGGGCGAGGTTAGGGAGAGTTTAGGTTTAGGGTTTAGTGATGCTGGAGGATTCAGGACTTCAGGCTTGGCCTTCGGCCGTTTCGGATGTCTGAGAGCTAAGACCGAGCTGATGTAGGGGCCTTAATAGTTAGAATAGGGTTTTGGGCTCCTTTATAATAGTGTTCTACTAGGGAACCCTTAAAACACAAAATAGGGTTTTGGGCTCCTTTATAATATTGTTCTACTTGGGAACCCTTAAAAAATAGAAAGGGTTCTGGGCTCCTTTATAATATTGTTCTACTAGGGAACTAAGGAATAAAAAAAAGGAGTTATTTACGTTTCTATGCTAGAAGGGTCGAGAAGATCTAGGGCTCGGAAACCCCATACACGGAGGGTCGGGGGACTTAGTAAGAAGGTAATAAGTAGACTTATCAGCACCCTGACAGCGATCCTGCTAGGGGTTATGATACTACTAGTTTAACTCCATAAACTTACTGCTTAGTAAGTCCAACGATCCTGCAAGTACACGATTCTGTGTTCGGAGGTGCTTCGACGAGGACGGACGGTAACATGGACGCTTTTCTGGTCGCAGTGTTTGATCTTCAAAGGTTACCTGGAAGTTCATGGGACTTAGTAAGTACACCCTTCAACGGCGCTAGAAGTCATTGAACTCAAAGTATAACTACCTTACTTCGAATTTCTGAGTCCCATGAACCTTTAGGCTTCTTGGGTTCGGGAGGGTTTTGGTTTTTTCTGCTAATCGCCCCATTTTTCCTCCTGCTAGTGCTGTCAGAACATGCCTTAGAGGCCGGGCCAAGCACATCACACAAGCGGCTTGCGGTTTAGGGTTCAGGGTTCGGAAGAAGGCAGTCGGCGCTTAGTAGGTATAGGCATTGGCAGATCGTGCTTCCTCGGAATCTCAAAAGCTTCTGTGTTAATATTTGTATTACTAATATTAATACTAATGCTATTAGTGATACTAATAGTAATCTTAAGCCAAGGCTCAGCCATTTCACACCGGAAGCTTGACCTCGCGAGTTGCAGTCCGCCTCCGCAGTGCAGCTCTCCCGGCAAGTGGGGTAGCCTGGCAAGGGTTGCTTGGAGGGTCGGGGGACTTAGTAAGTAGGTTATAAATAGACTTGTAAGTGCCTTAAACGGGACCCTATCTGGGGTTCTGGTACTTATAAGTCTCTAAAATGACTCCTTACTAAGCCCCGACCCTCCAAGTGAGGGCTTAGTTAGGGCTTAGGGCCTAGGGTTTGGGTTCCTTTTCTCACTGCTGTTACGTGTGTGAAATTCCTGCATTAGGATCAGCCAGGGTTTACTGTTTAGGGTTTCACCACCTGTAGGCTCATACCCTAACCCTTCTTTAGGGTACCTGCTTTTCTACATAACAGATCCTAACCATAGAACTAGGTACCCTAAAAAAGGGGTAGGGGTAGGGTATAAGCCTCTAGGTAGTACAGCAATACCCGAGGATGAGGATGGCTTAAGTACTGCAGTCAGGCGAGAAGCAAGCATTGTGAAGAATGCCCGTAAAACTCGGGCAAGGCTCTCCACGGTACTTCAAAGGCCCTGAACACCAAATCTTAAACACTTACCAGAAACGGTTGTGAAAGCAATTAACAACGGTGGCTGTTACCCAATGTGATCCTTCAAGTAGGGCTGCTTCACAAGTACCCAAACCCTCCAAATGATGTAGAAAGTAGAAGCCCTGATTCGGGACCCAATATACTACTAAACTTTACTTTGTAGGAATCCACTTGAATAATCCTTCCAAAACATCTGGGTAGGGTCTTCACAGGTGTGGGGATCTTCTTCCTGCTGGCCTTGGGGGTTTGAAGGTTTGAGTTCATGAAGGCTTCGAAAACCCTAAACCCTAAACTTTACACCCTAAACCGTGGAACCCTGAACCGTCAGGGTTGTTCTTACTAAGATTACGGTTATGATTGCTATTCTCATGAAGGCTTGGAGAACCCTTAACCCTTACCCCAAACCGTTATAAGGGTTAGGATTTGGGAACTCCTGTGCCTCGGGTGCTAAGGTGTTCAACTTCAGAGCTTCGGGTTCTGATACTTTCGGCTTGAAAACAGCCTCGCGGCTCCTAAACCCGAGACTTCGATCCTAAACCCGAACAGTATAGTTCTTGGGTTTAGGGATGTTTAGGGTTTAGGGTTAGAGTTTAGGGTAATCTTACGTAAAGCTTGAAACCGATCCTCTCGGTGTCTTCTTAAAAGAGCACCCAGATGTGGATTTCCGAAAGCACACTAAAACTCTGCTAGAGCCTCAGGCCTGGAACGGGCACCCAAAGAGCCCACGAACCTTCAACCTTAAACCCACTATGAAAACCTAAAACAAAGCTGAATAGTCTGAATAAGCATAGCAAGCCTCAGGAAATAGAGCCCCTTCTGAAGCTGCATCTCTCCTATGCACTTCCGACCCCAGAAACCCTCAACCCTAAACCCTCAGAATTGTTTAAAAATCTCCTTACAGGGAACTCCAGAAAGTTGGAATATGGTTTCAGGGTAGGATACCTTATAATTTACCATAAAGGGTTTAGGATAATCATATTCCAACTTTCTGGCTTTTACCTTAATCTCGAACCCCCGAAGCCAGAAGCCTACAGTCCGAGACCTCCAAACGGGTGGTGGTCAAAGTTAGGGTCCCTTTTTGGGGTCCTTAGGCACCTAATCTAGGATACCCAGTAACCTAAGAATAAAAAGGCCTCTCTTTTTGGTATTGGGTAACTTTATAAGGGACCTAGGACTACAAAAAGGGAATAAGGGTACTACTGGGCATCCTAGTAATATTCAGGGTACCCCCAAACAGGGACCCTAATTTTGACAGCCACCCAAACCCCTAAACCCTCAAGGTCCAGAAAGCCCTAACCCCCACACCCCAAAGCCCGGAGCCTTGAAGGCCCTTAAAGCCCTGACGCAGGGCTTTAATGCTTTAATAATTGTCTTGGGCTTGGTGGGTTCATTACACTATACTTATTTTTTGGAGCCCCCGAAAACCTGTTCTAACTGCTAAGGCAGGGTGCCTTCGTATCCGGAGATGCACATCTCGCAGCGATCGCCCTCATAGCCGGTGGAGCCTTGGGAGTCCAGAGACCACAGTACCCCTGTTTAGGAAGTAGGGTTGGGGTTTATTAGGGTTTAGGGTTTAGAGTTTTTTTTAGAGCTCCTTTTTGCACCAGCCGGATCGTCCAACAAAGTACAAGGCCCAAGGGATTAGGGTTCAGGGTTCAAGGTTTAAGGTTCAGGTTAGGGAGTGGTATGCCACAGTATCCTGTGTGGTTTAGGGGGAGGAAACTCAATTAAGTAATATGACAAAAGATTAAGTCGTGTAGGCCGTATAGGGTTTGGGTTGCGCCATTTCCGCGGATAGGCCAAACAGCAACTGCGCCACCTGCACCTTCCACAATAAAACGCACCCCCACCCCCGACAGTACTGTAAGAGCCTTAATAATTAGAACCGGGTTTTGGGGCCCATTACACTGAAATACGCTATAATTAGAATGCGGAACCCCCAAATTTGGTATAGGTAATTATTTCTAGTAGGCAAAATAATGGCCCAACACCTATAAAAGCCTTTATTGGTACATATTTTGGGGGTCCCGGTATCGGTCCAGATGAGCATCGAAGGACCAGAAAGCTCAGGGCCCCGTTTGAGGATTCAGGGCGGGTGCTGAAGTGGAACCCCAAACCGCCTACACCCTATAAGCCCTAAACCACTGAATCTCAAAGCCCTGCAACCCTAAACCCCAACCCTAAACCCTTCAGTCCAGCGGCAGCTGCAGGTACAGGTGCCGCCCACCTCTTTGAGAGATGTTGAGATGAACGATTTAAGGTACAGGGCCGTTTAGGGCTTAAGGCCCCATCATGTCTGAGCCTCACATGATGCTGAGGATGCACAAGTTCGAGGTTTAAAAAGGGTGGGGTGTGAAAGATGCCAGCATCCCATATTTGGGGATTGCTCGGATGGAATCGTTCAAGCTCTGGCAGGTCTGCCGTAGTCGAAAAATCCTCCACTTCACTGCATGGGCGATGGAGCTATCAGCAAGATAGCACCGTCAGCGGCACACTTCCGAATGGAATGGCGCGTTAACATGTAACTGAGAAAACTCAGAGACAAATCCACAACAATGCCAATCGTCTTCAAAGGAACGTGCTTTATGGCTAACCTAAACCCTAAACCCTAAACCCTAAACCCTAAACGGCTCCTGCTGAGAAAAGGTACATCAAAGAGAACCTCGGTTCCTGGAGCCGTACAAGCCGACGCTGAACCAAATCAAATGCAAGACCCCGAAAGTCTATAAACCTTCAGTTCTGAACCCTTACCCTAAACTCTAGACCCTGCATGCCTAATCCCCCAAAAAATAGGCGAAACTATGGCCCAACACCTAAAAACCGCGATTATTCTACCTGCTTTGGGGGTCGAGGTAAGGCCTAAAGAAGCACACCTCAGCAGCAGTGCCGTGGCCGTGGCAGAAAGCAGCGGTGCAGGTCGCCTGGGGAAATCTAAGACTTGTCTTCGAGTTTAGGTTTGTTGTTTCAGGGTTTCGGGTTTAGGGGGATGTGGCTCACGCCGAAAAATCCTAATCCCAGAGCCCGGAAGCCCTGAACACTACACCCTAAACTACCCCAAAGCTTGAATCGGCCGAACCCGAGAATTCTGGGTTTTTCGTGTGCAGGGAGTGCCTCGTCCTCGCCGCACACTTCGATCGCCACTGGCGCCTGGATGGTTGCAAACTGCAGAACACAAGCAACATACTTTAGGTACTGCCCCCCTACAGTAAGAGTCCAGAATAGGGCTACTACTAAGGTCCAAATATCTGTATTATGAATACTATTCAACTATTACTGAGTCGGGGCCGTACCCAACACATACTTGGGAAGAATCCCGGAAGAGCCTCCGGGACTGCAATAACTATTGATCTTATTTCTAGTCACCTTCATGCGTGTCACCAAGGAGCAGAAAAGTTCGCAAATTGTAGGGTTCTAGGTCATGCTCTGAATGGGTTTTGGACTGAAGCCGTGCTATTTGGGTACTTGGACCCTTAGGGTTACGCAGATCCAACAAGAGTGAAGAAACACTTTAGGTACCCGAAACTCTCAACCATAAACCCCTAAACCCTCAGAAGATTAAGACGAAGATCCCCTGCCCCAACCTGCATGTAATACAGGGGCCTTAATAATTGGAAATAGGGTTCCTTCAAATTCCTTTAGGGAACTATAGTAGGGTTCTGTAATATGGGTGCCTTAATAATTAGAATTGAGTTTTGGGGTATGTGGTACTACCGTTATAGTAAGGAGACCCCAAAACCCTCTTCCAATTGCATCAACGCCCCTGCCTTATGTTCCATAGCACAAGAAAGCAGAGATCTTGACCTTGGGGATGAGGCTTGAAACCGTTTCAGGCAGCACGCCACAAAGTCTTGCAAACGGAACCTACTTACTCGGAGGGTCCCAAGTCATGAAATTCCCGCTCAACGGCAACACCCTAACGACCCCGACTATGCGATTGTGGAGCTGTTTTAGACCCCTAAAGAGACCCAGAAACCCAAACCCTAAACAATCTACCCCTGAACCCAGCCCCTAAACCTAGAAACAGAAAAGCCGTAAACCGTAAACCCTCAACCCCGAACGCGAGCTCATTCAGAACCACTGCCCCTGAACCCAGCCCCTAAACCTAGAAACAGAAAAGCGTAAACCCTCAACCCCGAACGCCAGCTCATTCAGAACCACTGGGTTCTTGTTAAGGGAGTTAGTCTAATTTACCATAACAAGGCAACCATATAATGTACTATAGACCCCAACTATGTTAACTTGAATTAAGCCCATTATCCCAGACCCCCGAGAGGATCTGGAAAGTAGATCCCCTAATTTGGGGCCCTATACTACCAAGGGTACTTTATAGGAACCCCCATTAAGGGATCTACTTTTTGGATCCTACCGGGGGTTCTGGGAACAAGAGCCAGTAGCAGGCCTTCTCGGCTGCCCTGTTGCTGCTGGGCACGGGGAAGGAAGCCTCGGCTTCTTCCAAAGCTTGAGCGGTCAGGGTTTACAATAGTATTAAGTTTAGGGCGTTTAGGGTTTACAATAGGGGCCTTAAGAATTAGAATAGGGTTCCACTAGAGGGGTCTAGGGCTACGATAAGGGCTATTATACGGATTTAGTACAGGGGCCTTGATAATTAGAATAGGGTTTGGGGGCCATTATACTATACTTATAATGAGGAACGCCCCAAATAGTTTCGGTAACTATTCAAGCCCCAATAGTATGATTTTTGGGTGTGTGCGGTTGTTGTTGGTATTTGGATTTTGTTTTATCAGCCGTGCTTTGGCGATGTTTTAGGGTTTGGCGGTTTTGGACGGTTGTCTGTAGGGTGTTTAGGGGCCAAGGCTTTTTGGTTTAGGGTGTTTGCGGCTTGTAGGATGAGGGTTTAGGATGCTAAGGTTGTGCTGGATTTGGGGTTGTTTAGGGTTTTGGGGCGGTTTAGGGTTTAGGGGTTGCTGTAAGGACAGGGTTTCTGCAAGAATATGTGAGCTTTGCCGTCTCAACAAGACACTACCGCAATACAATCCTCCCTGCCATCAAAGCAACAACTTGATCAAACCTCCTCAGAACCCTACATCATGAACCCAAAACCCGTAAACCCAAAAAGCGAATGAGATCCCGGCCTTGTCAGGCCAGCTGTTGACGACTGGGCAGTGCGAGGCATCTTTCGTCTGCGTGATGTCCGTGTTGCTCACCTCGTTCTGAAGCTTGGGGCGTTTGGGTTTGGGGCTTCGCTTTAAAATGCCATAAGCTACTTTTTTCTATGCTCTTACGATAAACCCTAATATAGAACTTGTAGGGATCCTACACCAAAAAAGTCGGTCTTGGTAGCTCAAGGTAGGTGCTTCGACCTTTTGGGGTTCGCAACCCTGTAACATTCAAGTATACCTCCAAGAGGTTCATGGGACTTAGTATGGACGTTGGAAAGTACCTTAATTGGGGCTAAAAGTAGTTGTAAGTACAGCTACCGTATTTATTTGTTTAGGGGCTTTCGGTCTAGGTAATTAGAGCTTGGGGTTCAACTTGGTCCGAGACAGCATCGCCTTCCCTTTCCCGGCTTCTTAGCCTCTCGTGAATTCTGGAGTTTCGGATTTAGGTCTTAGGGCCCACCTTGACCCTATAAAACTGATCTTTCTAGGGCTCCTTGTTATGAGTTCCTTATATAAGTCCCTAGAAGGGTAGAGCCATTGAATTCTAGGGCCTGGGGTCGAAGGGCTTAGGGCCTGGGGTAGCCATTTGCGGCCCAGCCACGCATGTCACTCCTCGTGACTTCCTTGCAGGACGCTGCAGAGTCACACAGGTCAGATGGAAGAACATCTAACTGCGCCTCAACAGATTTGAAAATTGATTTGAGAGTTCAGCTCCCTAAACCTAAACCCCACTTTAAACTACCCAGCACCCCCAAACCCTGAGCCAAAAGATCCGAACCCGACAGCCTTAAACCCTATAAACTCCCGGACTGAGCACCCTTGGACTCCAATATCCGACACGGCAAGCCGGCTGGAGTTTAGGCGCCTACAAGCAAGCTCCAGCAGAGAAACGAACATGGGCGGTTCTCTGAAGTAGGGACATTGCTTAGATTATATCAGTCACGTACTCTTGTTCTTTTGGGGGATGAGAAAGAAGGACCTGAACTGCATTCTTTGTTTGGTCCAAGAGTCTTGTAGGATGTGGGAACCTCCTGCTGAGGCACCAAAACCGAGCTGGGGACCTGAAATGTTCAGGGATGGAGGGTTTCCGAAACCCTAAACCCTGCAAACTCTGAACCTTACACCCTCGGGGCTTCGTGCGGCCGAAGCTATAGCAAACCCATTAAAGTTGGAAACCGGATTAAGGCCAAATAGTGCTGAGATTCCATATATACATTACTCTTAAGGATTGAGGCTATTGGGTTTCCAACTTTTTGGCTTCTACTGTAGAGGGGATTAGGCATCAGGCGGATACCACAAGTATTAAAGAAGAAAGTGCCAGCTGGGCATCCAGAGCCTCCTGAACCCCGAAACGGATACACTGACGGCTCCTCCGCAACATGACATGACTAGACTCCCAAACTCTCAGCCCGATCTAATGTGATGGAGCTCTGCAGCCTGAATCTTTAAAGCGAAGAGGGGTTGCCCTGAGATCCGTCAAGGGTCGAGGTTATGGTCTAGTTCCACAACCCCACACGCGAAACCCTAAACCCAGACTACTTCTCGTTTTGAGCTTCACCAAAGGCTGAGCCAAACATGACGTTCTCTAAAGAAGATTGAGAAAGGAATCATGTAGGGGCCTGGATCGTTGGTGTATCTTTTACGTATAGAATAACAAGGGCACCAAAAATCAAACATTACCCCTTTTTCCGGCTTCTATACCAGATTCGATCGCAGGCCGGAGTGTCAGAAAGTACAGATCGGCGGACGGCTGTAAGTCCTAAACCCTAAATCCTAAACCTGAAGCCCTTAGCCAAACCACCAAAATCTGGCGGCCTGAGACCGGGCCCGAAAGAGATACCCGAAGCCACAACGGAGCCTAGATTTTAGAAAATGTCGAGGAGGCCGCCCTATTAACGTATCACGTTGTACTGTAGGGACGATACGGGGAGACTGGATACTGTGACTAAAACATTCCAACTTCTATAGTACCACGACTCATTCCGGTACACAAAGTACTCGGCGCGAAATCTCAAAAGCCAACGTCACATTCACCCCAAAAGCCCCTCAAAAAACCCGCTGGGGGTGCCACGACAGCCTGAGACCCTCCGGGCGGAATCCACTTGAAGATGCCTCGGAGGAGAACTTTCGAACCGTTTTCGCCCACAGGCTATACAGTATATACTTGAGCCTTAAAGCACCTATACAGGAACCCCTGTGAGGTCTAAGTATATGCTGCAAAGGTACATGTAGCCTTGGAATAAGGCCTTGAACATTGTTGGAGTCCTCTCGCCTGTCTTTGGCCTTTGAGAAGCTCAAAACTCAAAACCATTTCTGATCCGACTATTGCTGTTGGCGAACAATAGCACGCATTTCGCAGGAGGAGAAATACGCTATATTTTTTTCGCAGGTTGCAATGCTTCAATCATAGGGTCCCAATATACATCGTAGAAAGCTGGGTTTATGTAACAGGAACTACTATAGTAGCTGGGTGAATATCCCTGATAAACGCCATATAGATATTTACTTAGGACCCTTTCGGCAGGCATTTGGTGCTTAGGACCCTTTTTCAGGTATTGCAAGATTGCGTCCGAGAGATGTTAATTCCATGTGACACTCGTTGCGAAGATTCCGCGAGGATCAGTGTAGAGAAAGGTCGTAGGGTTTGGGGTTGGGATTTAGGGTTTGGCTCATAGGGTTTAGGGTTTTGGGCTTGCTGCACAGAAAATCAAAACTTCAACGAATCCTTTCCAGAACCCTTCAAGGAATTCCTGAAGAAACCTTTAAAAGAACCGTTAAAGGAACCCTAAAACCGCCCTTAAAAGAGGTGGCCTCTTGAAAGGAAGTCCTAAATGAAACAAGAACATGATCCTAACCTTCTAACCCTAAACCCTGAACCCCTAAACCCTCGTTAGATCGACTCTGCCGAGGAGCAAGTCTCGCCTCCTCCGTTCTCAAAGAATTCGATGCGAACGTCGATGAGCCCAGAGCTGAGCTGCATGGTCACCTGCGGAAAGTTAAGGGCTCCTTTAAAGGATTCCTTTTGAGGGTTTAGGGTTTAGGGGTTTAGGGTTTAGATTCCTTTTGAGGGCTCCTTAAAGAGTTCCCTTTGGGAAGCTGAGTTGCATGTTCCGGGCAAGAGCTGAAAGCCTGTTCTGACATGGGTTTTGGGTATAGGCTTGCTTCGGAAGAGGACTCTAGGACCCTCCGAATCGCCTTCACTTCGCGGTCCCCATGGAGGCCGTCATTGTCGATGACTTGCTCACCTTTGCAACTTCGCATGCGTACGAAAGACGCCTGGTTCATGTCGCTTCTTGGGGTTTCCGCGGGGGCTGAACAAGCATCTGCAATTTCAGGCCTTCCGGAGTGCAGAGTTACAGTTCAAGAACTCCTTGCTGAACAGAGTGCAGTATTTCCGGCCGTGGCTGTTTCAAACCTCGCGGGAATTTGGTCAGCAAATTCGGGTCATGTCGACACGAAAGCCAATCTGTAGACTGAGACCTGAACCTTAATACGTTTTAGACATCCCAAGCACTCCAATTCACACCCAAAACCTCGAATCAAGCAGGTGTATCAAAAGATCACCAGTGCTACAACAGCGGCCGAGCATGAATGCGGAAAACTGAAGCCCCTAAATGCTGAATCCCCAACAACGTACGTTCGGGGGCTGAACGCCCGTCAAACACAATACAAAACGAAAACAAAGTTTAGGGGTTTAGGGTTAGGGTGCTGGAACAGATATTCATTGTAAAGGTTCATAAGAGTGAGGGTAACAAGGAGCCATTGATGTAGAGCTTAGTGCCGTCGTCCGAAGTCCTGAAGCCCAAGGTCTTGCGGGTCGGGCGCTGTTCTCGGGGTTTGGGATTTAGAGTTTTAGTTTTAACCAACGATCATGAGGGTGGAGTGTTTAAGGTTTAAGATGTATAAAACGTGTTCGGTGTTCAGTGCTGCCTAGGGTCCAGGCATTACAACATTGAACCTTCGTAGAATACAGCATGAATGAAGGATCCGGTACGGTGAACCCCAAACGAAGCTGTATGTTTGTACGGATGTGTATTTATATATATATATATATATATATATAGATATGTATACCTTTACATGGATATATATATATATATATATATGTATGTATATGTATATGTATGTATGTATATGTTCAGCTCTTGCCTTCCAGAAATACAGCGACCCAGAGTTGGCACTTCCAAAGTTAGGCCTTCCGTTTCCATAAAGGCTGCCTCTTTCGGGTTCCTTCTACTGGTTCCTTGTATATGGTGTTGAAGGGGTAGGTTTTGCAGGGGTTGAGGTAGGGTTTAAGCTTTGGGATGTAATGGACATAGTCTGCGACATGGGCCGCTTTGAAGGGGTCACTTTTCGGATGACTATCGACAGCGGTGCTATAAGAGCTTGAGACTTGTGAGATTCAGTGGGACGAGTGGGATTCCGGTGAAACCCGAAAGCGCCGAAGCCCGACCGATTGAAAGCTGCGGCGCCAGGAACCACATCAGAGCCTCACTAAGTAGAAGCCGTTTTTCGCATGTTCATAAAATCGTGATGTTTGGGCGTTGATCACCAACAGCCATAAGCCAGCAAGTCAGCACAAGTTAACCTTACAGCTTAGGGTACTACGGGCAGGTGCGACGTGACGCGGGACTCTCCCTGCACCCGTGAACCTGACTGCCTGCTCTCTGTACGTATCAAGACAAAGCCAAACCATGACAAGTGCCCCTACGGCTCCAGTTACCTCGACTCTGTGCTACGGGGTAGTTTGCAAACTGCAGGTATGTGATTATGGTAACCTGATCTATAGGTGCCTGGAGCCCGGGGGTGCTATGATCCGAACTGAAACACTCATGTTCGCAGTAGTCGTGACGCCTATACATGGGGGTTTGGGGGTTGCAGGATTCTACAGGGTCCAGGAGTTTGCTTAGGATCCCAAATCGAAAAATCAAATCGAACATGCTGGGTACTGGACTGTAAGGTCAAAATCCCGCCCCAAACCCTGAACCCTAAATCCCAAACCCTCA